AAGTAATGGAAGCAGTATTAAATTGGTTTGGTTTACGTTGACACGTTGGCAATTTTCACAAGGAAAAAAAATACTCCTGACTTAATTTGTAAGATGTCATGATTGATTGATTGTTTGTTGTTTTCTGAACGTACAGTTGTAAATATTCACGCATATTTATGACGGAGAGAAGAATTTTTAAACAAGAAATAAGAAGTTGCATGCGTTGTCGTTGATACACCATGACCATAGAGAGAATTTAAAAGACAAACAGCAAAAAATAAAATATAAAAACATATTCTATAGCTTTTGTATTCCTAGTAACCCACGGTAACCCTTTTTGTTGGTTGGTTGTAGCATATTAATCTCATGCACCGACTTTTAAGAGAACACGAAAAATCTCCTTGCAGATACTCCTATAGTATTCTGCATCCCACCCCGCTAATAGGCGCTTAAATATCAAATATTTATTTGAAATAACCCAAGATAAATGAGGTTGTGGATGAGGTTTACAGAATAGAGAGAGTTGATTCGTAAATATGACCATATCAATGAAAATTCATGGTAACACGGATTAGCCTCGAACCTGTATCTGGATATTGTCAATCTATAATTCCTCTTCATTCTGGCTATCTTTGGTGGATTTAGAGACTAAATCCAGAAATATGTTTTTAAACGCTCTGTTCAAGTACAGATATTAAGTTATTGGTTTGGGTAGTTTCTAGTCTCTTATTAAACAATAGGAGTCATGTTTTATGCATTACCTTAAAATAATAACCATAACTGTACAGAAATGGTGAAAATTTTCACATAATTAAAGTTTTGCACTTTGTATTTTGATATCCATTACATGTCTAATAGACAGTCTATGGTAATCATATTTACACTTATAGACCTAGTTAGTTTTTGTGTATACAGCTTGAATTTGGAAGATTAAAAATCTTAATAAATGATTTTAAAATGACAATCATACTGATACTCAATGTTCATTGTTTGTAGCACTTTGTACAATATTTCATTCTATACCCTTGCATACCAGCATAAATTTCAATGTAGCTCTTTGAATGTATGAAATTTATGACTAGTTGTTTTCTGTTTTTTTTTTTGCTAATGCAGAGCTTTTTGTTGTCATTTTTGTCTGAACTCTATCAAGAACTGTTTTATCATTGTTGAAATAATTTCTGACACAATGCAGGAGAAGAATGTAAGATTATCTTTGTCTGCAATAGTGGACGAAATAGTACGTCAAGATTTGTTAACTCGTGCAAGATCGTGATTTTCGAGGAAAATATCGAATGTACATAATTTGCATGGTAATATCAAATAACCAGTTCTGATTACGACCAGTTCAACATTTCATTCCATATCAATAATAAATTCGGTATGCAGAAAAAGTTAAGTTATTCTGTTAATCATTTAATTCTGTAATCCTTTTTTTTTATACCTTTTTCCAAAGTTTTAAACATTTTTTTTAAAGCACTCCTTTATTCTCTATTCTTTATTTTTTGCCCACCTTCTCTTTTTTGGGGGTAGGGGCATTATTCTCTATTCTGTAAACCTCATCCACAACCTCAAATATCTTGGGTTATTTCAAATAAATATCTGATATTTAAAGAAGGAGATTTTTGGTGGTCTCTTAAAAGTCGGTAAGTCGGTGCATGAGATTAATATGCTACAACCAACCATCAAAAAGGGTTACCTTCTAGAAATACAAAAAACATAGAATATGTTTTTATATTATATTTTTTGGCTGTTTGTCTTTTTGTCGTCTCTCTATGGTCATAGTGTATCAACGACAACACATGCAACTTCTTATTTTTTGTTTAAAAATTCTTCTCTCCGTCATAAATATGCGTGAAATATTTGCCACTTTACGTTCAGAAAACAACAATCAATCAATCATGACATCTTACAAATTAAGTCAGGAGTATTTTTTTCCTTGTGAAAATTGCCAACGTGGGAACGTATTTGGAAACCAATTTAATACTGCTTCCATTTCTTCCATTTTCATTCCATCCCGTAAAAGTGTCCTTGAAGAAAACGTCCGTCAAAAATGTCCGCGTTCGTTTTTTTCCGACAATTTCCGTTATTGATTTCCCAATTTTTACTGGATCATCATAATGATACAACTACTAAACATATAGTTCATTGAACCGAGTATAATACTGAACATAATGAATAATCCACCGAATATAAAGAAACCGGGACCACTGAAGGTAATACATAATGTGCTGCAAATAATATTGAATCTACTGAACATAATGTCGAAAGTACTGAACATAATGCAAAATGCACTGAATATAACGTCAGAAGTACCGAACATAATTTAAATACAACGGCATATAATAATGAAACTACTGAACATAATAACCAAAGCACCGAACATAATGTCAAAACTACTGAACATAATGTCAAAACTACTGAACAGAATGTCAAAACTACTGAACATAATATAAATACTACTGAACGTAATGCATAAAGCACCGAACATATTAAACAATCAACATCAGAAGACAGTCATGGCGTTCCATATAAATGATCATTTGAACTTATACGAATATTAATCTTTTATTTGTAATCAATTGAATTCCCTGATCTACCTCGCACTAATTGAAAAATAAACTTTTTGGAATATCTGTTTCATATGTGACGACGGACATGTTCCAGTGGTCGTAACCATAAAACCGTCATCTTTTCCTTGAATGTAAACTACCAAATAAAACCAAATCACTGGGTTTGTACTTTTTCGAATAACACGACGGGTGCCTTTCTGGAGCATCCGAGATCACCCCGATGGATTTATATTACCCAGTCATACCGATCTATTGAAACAGCCAAATGAAACTGTTTTGTATGCCACCGCAACTGAAAGTGGGGGGGGGGGGTATTGTTTTACCCCTGTCCGTCCGTCCGTCCGTCCCATTATGGGTATAAAGTTATTCCGCATAACTCCTCCTACAGTTTGAATCCTAGGAAGTTTTCTCTTTACTGTCTGTTTGTACATATATTGAAGGTGTGCATGTGGTCAGGGTTTTTATTTTTATTATCTTTTGCTCTTTTGGGAGATAATTGAACTTTTTTGTGTCATTTTTGGGGTATAAGCGGTTAAATGAGTTGAGTGCGGGGACATCACTTTGTCTAGTTTACTTATTTTTCTCGTGTTGTGCTGTTACACAACTGTAACAGTCTGATGTACGGTTAGGATTTAGCGCTCACATACATAAACTCCGCCACGTGCACTTTCTTTATGTACCCGCCCCAAGTCAGGAGCATGAAGTTCAATTGTTGTCGTTGTATAAATGTGTGTCATTTTTTTTTTTTGTAGATTGTTTATTTATAAATAAGGCCGTTTGTTTTTTCGTTTGAATTTTTTCACATGATGCATGATGGCCTTTTGTAGCTGACTATACGGTGTGTTGAAGGCTGTACGGTTGCCTATATATGATTTCTTACATCCACTGTATTTAAACTCTGGTGGATAGTTGTCTCATTGTCAATCACACCACATCTAACTTTATTTCAACTTCTATGTTGCGTTTTGTATACTGTAACATTGTTTATCTTTTGTACGCATACCCCGGAGCCCTCTTTCGAAAGCCCGAGCAAAAGTCCTTGTTCCGCGATAGAAAATTTAATTACGAACTCATATAAGATAGCTCGAATTTCAACTCAAAATCTTAATTTATCTAAATGAGACTTAAATTCGAATCTTACTCAAACAAAAATTTAATGTTGTAACTAAAACTCTGCCTTTAAATATGACTCAAACTCGAAGTCCAACTCGAAACTCAATGCTAACTAAAACTTTAATTCTAATAATGACTTGAATTCGAAATCGAAGACTAACTCAAAGTTTAACTCAAACAGTAACCCGAACTTTAATTTGAACTCTTATTCGATGGATGGCCACACTCATCCAAGACACATAAAACATGGAAATCTATCTAAAAATAGAACAGGTTTTTCCGAATTGGTCACGTGATTTTACCTCATCAAGTAATGGGATAACCACATCAAAGAATGACAGGACCACATTAAATAATGAAACAAACACATCATGTAGTGTAAAATCGTCAAATTTTGAAACATCATTACGTAATGTTAAAACCATATAAAGAATAGGCAAATCATCATTACAAAATAACATAACCACATCATGTAATGAAACAACTACATAACGTTAAGTCACATTCACATCAAGTAATGTTAAAACCACATTGACTAATGACACAACCACATTAAATAATGGTGAAACCACATCGAGTAATGACAAACCATATTGAGTAATGACAAAACTATATCAAGTCAATAAGAAACCATATCGTGTAATATCGAAATATCATTAAGTAATGACTATTCCATATTGAGTTATATCAAAACATCATTACGTAATGTCAAAACCATATTAAGTAAAGACAAAATATCATCAAGTAATAATAAAACAACATAAAGTAATATCAGAGTTCTACATAAGACAGCTGCGGCGTTCCATAGAAAGTGCCTTTTCATCATGCATTGGTTATGAAGTTAATAAGCATTATGGTTCGATTTGATTTACAATTTAAATTGACATGATACAAGTGATAAAATTTAATATGTCTTAATTATACGCATATCGTATAAAAATGACTTTATTTAAATTTCAAATATGAAAAGGTTATCAAAAATATTTCAAGCTAAGTCAACTGAAAGGATGGACTAAAGTATTTCTACTCATCAAGTTGAGTAATAACTGTCATTCAACTTTTTTTAATTACTGCTTTGTCGTTTAAATACAAATGTAATTGAACCTGTCAGAGATTTCAAATCAAAAATGAAGTCTGTTTTTCTACAGCTGTATTAAGATGTTACTACGTAGTTTATTTCCTTTATTGACAGTGATTTTTAGCATTTTCTATTGTCAAGATCGCTATTAAATCTCCCAAGGATAAGAACAAACACTTACGTTATACCCAATAATTACTTAGTTTATATATATTTTGAAATATAAGTAGGAACGATTACTTTGACACTTTTCCTTTAGAATTTAAATGGAAATATTTGTGTTTGTTTTTATAAAGTTTAAAACAGTCAATCATAAGAATGAACTTTAATAATCAAATGAAGGTACTAATATTAACTTTCATTTCCTGAAGAAAGGATGAGTAACAAGGAGCAAAATGAATAAATGGATAAAAGTATTATTATTCCTAATAATCTGCGTTCTACAAGGTAAATGGAATGATTTGAAATTATATAGTTTTATCAATATCGAATTATTAAAAATTCAATGATTAAGTTGAAAAATAATTTGAAAAAAAAAAAAAAAATTGATTGACCAAATTTAAAAAAATACGGACTTATTTTTTTTTTATTGATTTACATGTACTTATCTAAAAAAAATATATAATAATATTATTTTAGATAAACGTTTATTAACGGTCGATGTAACTATCGCTTTTAAAATTACTTTAAAATACAATAAATGAATGGTTAGTTTTAAAATTAACTCGACTAAAAATGGATAGACATTATAGTTATATTGGTGTTTGTAGTAAAATAGTCATTCATAGTTTTTTCGAAGAGAATTTCATTTCTGTCTGAAATGATATACTCAATTGCTTTAAAATGGGTTTTATATATCTTTTTTCTTTTCTTTTTTTTGGGGGGCATGGGTTGTGGGAGGGTCCTAAACTTGGACCAAGGAGGACATCAAAACTTTGTCAGGGTTTGTTCGTTTGAGACGCATACTATATTTTTATTTACTTAAGCACAGAAGAATTCGCTACAGTTTTTATCTTACATATATATAAAAAATCAGTGAATGATTATAACAGCTCCACATGTGCATACCGTTTTTTAGTATAAACATTCAAAATCCTAAACTATGAATACAGGAAAAGTAGTACATGTGATACAAAGATGAAAATAATTAATGGAAGATCTTTGTAAGTCCATGTAACATTGGTAATTTATTTGATCTCTTAAATTCGATAATCAAATACATGTAGTATTGTAAATCTTCAGTCTGTAAGATATCAACATTCAGCTGCAGCTTCCCAGACAACATTGGTACGTTGGCACAACATTGGCCCAACGTATCTACATGCATTGGCCCGATGTTGTTTTTAAACGTTGGCCCAATGTATAAGTGCAAAGTGGCCCTATGTTGGCCCAACGTGATGGCTAAACGTTGGCACAACGTTGTAAGGTTTTATACAATACATTGGCCCAACGTTGGTCCAATGATGGAATAATACTTGCCGATGTTTAACAAACGTTGGGCCAACGTAGTAAAACAAATTGTTAACAAACGTTGGCACTCCGTTGGTTCAATCTGTAAACTTTTCTATCCATATGAACTTCAGAAGGATACTAAAATCCCTTCCAGACAACAACTGCAATAATTCCTGGTTCTTACATCAGTTCAAAATGGCGAAAGTAATACTTTTTTAAATGTTGCAATTATTGCGTTTTACAGATCCACTATACAATGTTGTGTCTTACATACTACCCGAAAATTTTGTATTTTGCAACTTTCTCTCAAATCTTCCTGAACATGCATGAAATATTTGTCAGTGGACGTTTAGGTAACCAACAACCAATCAATCTCTCTCCAGGAATTGTACTTCTGAATTTATACCCATATTTGTATGAACTCAATCAACGTATCCATGTTACCTATTTTTCTTAAATAATATAAATACAAAGGTATGATTAAATATAATTTATTATTAGCTAGACAACCAGCAAATTTTAAAAAAGTCTTTTTTTGTATCTATACATTGCTAAATCAGATCTATAGAATGAAAACTTTAAAGTCTATTCATGATAATTCATTTATCCCATTTGTATAATATCATTACAGTTTATGTTGCAATATCCAAGCTCTGTATGACGGCCTTGATAATTCATTTTATACAGCTATGTTTCTAGTTCTGTATTCCAACATGGTTTTTATTCACAAGAGTGTTCCTTTTGTTTTCTGCTACACTTTGTTTTGTCACTATTTCTGGCTCCGTCTAATGTTACATCCTTTTAATATCCAGTTTAGCATATCTTCATAAAAGTTATTTCACTACATGTACCTCTGTAATAAAGTAATGAATAAATGAGTACTCAATGTATGTATATTTAGAATATATTAAATCCTCCTAAAAAATAAACAAAGAGACAAAAAATGCATTGTTTCCGGTGTCCTGGCACATTACAATAGTTAGAAAAAATACTCTTTTTTTATATTTTCCCTAGCCTATACAATCCAAGGCAAAAGGCATATTGCATGCTTTACCATAATGGCTAAACTTAACCTCACTAGCTAGGTTAAGCAGGACAATTGAGTGTAGAAATGGATACAGGAAACTTTGTCAAAAAACGTTCTAAGTAAATAAATAAAACTAGTTGAAAAAAAAAACACAAAGTCAAATCTAAAGACACTAGCAATAACGGTAGTATTAAACATTTTATGCATATATATCTGTGAAATTCGAATCCGATGTAGCATAAATGATGGCTATTATGTTAACTTACTTTCTTAAACTTATTCATTCTGGGCTATCAAATGGTAGAATGCATTTTTCCCATCTCCATTCCCATGCATTTTCTAGCCAGGATGTTGTCAATAATTTCTATTATTCCTAGCTCTGTATTATTCCTGTTTGCCCTCTGAATTATTTTGTCTTCTGTAGTACTCAAATACCTAACCTATAAATTTATATTTAAATGTAAAATTGTATATTCCAGTAATTCAGACAATAATCTTTATAGTCTTTTTCTTTTATAAATATCCTTATGTGTGGTATAGTCTTTTTTTACATCCCCCCTATTTTTTTTATATTTCAAGCGTCAGCTTTTTGTGACTGATATTTACTTCTACAAACTATTCAAATATCGGGGTTTTTTTGCAAAAGTTTTGCCGAGGACAAAAAACTAAATTCAGTCGAGTCCGTATAATTATATATAAATCACAACATTCTTGCAATGAATTTAATAAATAAATACTCTATTTGATATCTAAAACACTGTTACACATGCAAGTGTGTATATGATCAGGTTTCACAAATATATCGTACATGTTTGCATGCGATTTAGAAATAATAAAACTAACAAATTCATTTCTATTTCTATTAAGTAGAAATCATTATACCACATTTCTGAAACATTACGGAACAAGGTACATCTTAAGACAGATTTTTTCCATTAACTTCAGTAATGGTGATAAATGCAATCGTTATAGATTTCACAAATAAAACATTAAAATATTAGCAATTTACAATTTGTTTGATGATACTAATGTTCAGTGGCAAATATTTCATGATTTTTTAGGATTGAAATGGTTTAAACAAAATCTAGAAAATATTTCGCCAGAAACGTATAAACTTCAAGATCAACATTATAAAATGATAGAAATTATATGTTTTAATTTTGAACAACATCCCTCAGATTAAAAAAAACATATATGTTTGTCATTCACAATCGTATATATAACAGAATTTTTAAAGTTATAACTTACATGTCACTTTCTTTTTCTTTGAACCTCAGATAATATGATTTTCTCTTTTTGTTTTCTTCGTTTCACTGCCTTCTTACAAATACACAACAGGAAATAACAACAAAAGTGACCATCCCATTACATTCAGATTTCCTATAAACTTAATTACCATAGCAACTATCTTTGAAATTTGTCTAACATATGGTCAACCTTATCAGAATGTGCTTGATTAACAGACTAGCTGTATCAAATATCACTCTGTATATAATTGCTAAATTATTATGTTTCACAAAGTTTAATGAATAAAGTTATAATAAATAATGATTGCAATAAATTTAAACTTTTAACCAGGCAATCTATGTTAACGATATATTTTTTTTTATTACAGTAATGATATTCCAGTAGGAATTTTACCTGACTTATATATAGAGTATAATATAGGATCAGCATTGGCCCAACATAGAGTTGCAAACGTAATTTCAGTTGATGAACCCTTTCGGTATAACATTAACTTTTCATAAGCATGCATCAATCGAAATCATCCGCCTTCCCAAGAGAAATAAAGCGTAAAATATTTCATAATCAATTTTTATTAACAAAATTTCATATCGGCCCTATGTTGCTACTAACGTAATGCCAACGTTGGCCCGATTATTTATAACCAACATTAGATAATAATATGGATTTACAACAGCAGGCCAACGTTGGGCCAATGTTGTGCAGCCAACACCAACGTGCGACCAACGGACCGACAATTTGCCAACGTTGGGCCAATGTTGTGCAGCCAACACCAACGGTCGACCAACGGACCGACAATTTGCCAACGTTGGGCCAATGTTGTGCAGCCAACACCAACGGTCGACCAACGGACCGACAATTTGCCAACGTTGGCCCACTGTTAGTCTGTTGACTGGGTTTGTCTTTGAAGTATGTTCTATGGATTATTACCCATAATTGCTATATTGTGGGTAATATACAACGTTTTCATTAAGATTGGCGTCATATCTTCCAAATTCCCATGTTTATGGATTCAAAGCAACACCACAACAAGTGTGCAGATCATATCGTTCTATCAAACTTTCAAATAAAATTAAAATATTTTTGAACGGATAAATAAATTTTACTAATTGAGCCAAGGACAATTAAATTAAAACTCTTATTATTTACATGTACATCAACTTTCTTATCGAATAGTCAAGTAAGATATTGTGGAACTTTATCCAAATATATCAAAACAGAAATATATGGACCTTTCTATTGAAATTACAAAATACAAATTCAAAATCTTTATGAAATGTTTTTACTTTTATTTAAAATTTCATTTAAGTCCCCAAATTACATGTATATCGGGAATCATATCTTATCATTTTTTAATTAATTGGTATCACCCATTGGTGGCCTTCGGCTGTTGTCTGCTCTATGGTGGGGTTGTTGTCTCTTTGACACATTCCCCATTTCCATTCTCAATTTTATTATCATCACATTAACTCATCATTCATTTATTTCAAACACATTTCTTTTGAAGGAAATGCTATTTTAGAACAAGCCAAACACGTGTATCTCTATAGCTTTCTATAGATAATCTCGTTTTAATAAATATACATGTAAGTGGGAGTTTGTCCGAAACATGCATGCTCTTTTGAGAGATGTCTGACACGTACTTCCTGTATTTCGATATTTTGATTTGAAAAACCAGTTTGGGTTTATTTAGCACGACAAAGGGTGCAACTTCTTGTTATTT